TAATTTTTGGGACCCCCAAAAAGGTACCCCTCATTTAGGGAAACTCCCATAAAAGCAAATTGGGAAAATCCTCAATTGTCTATAACCGTTCCAAACTTCAATCGTGTGATCCCCTGCGTCAGCTTCTTCGCGACTGCCAAGCCGTGGTCCTAGAATCGATTACCACAATCATAAATTATCATGAGTATTACTGTGATTTATTGTCGTCAGTGGTATTGCGGTGACTATTGGCATGATTATCACTATGATGTCTGTTTCTGCCTTGGGGGTCCCAACTGCCTCTTATAACGCTGTACTACCGGGTTTATGGCTTGGAGTTGCAGAGTTTGGGGTTTTCGCGCCAGTGGCATTTAGAAAGCCTTTTGTCCTCCCTAATGATTTAAGTATCTCGCTTGGTTGATAGTACCCTAGATGTTCAATGTCCGGGGTAGTCTTGTTGTTGTAAGGGAGACGAAGGTTACCTTCACTTTTTTGGTAGGGTCCTTCTATAAACCCCGGTACAGAATTTATAGGGAACTTACAAGAGCTAGGTTTTGGTAGGTAAAGGTAGAGCCTACAGAAGCCCCTCAGCTCCCCGCAGAGACCTGTCATCATTATGCACGTGGGGTTATACAGATTATATAGGGTATATCCGGGTGTATAGGCTGTTAGGGATTAGGCCCCGTTCTCACGACCTCTTGTCACATCAGTAAGCTCCAGACAGGAGACCACAACCCCAAAACCATTTTATGGACATATAGTAGTTGGGATTCCTTATTATGTTAACTTACGCTCCTTAACCGCAACCCAGAAAATCCAGGTGCCAAGCAGATGCGCGCTGCACTGTTTGAGCTGACTTCAGCCTTCCAGGCAGGCAACAAAGCTGCGGCCTTTCAGGCTGGGACAAGTTGGGATTATAGGGATGATATAGGGATTATATAGGGGTTATATAGGGATTGTAGTCTATATTGGGGTTATATGGGGATAATGGAAAAGAATATGAGAACTACTATTTAAACTAGGGTCTAGGGTTTAAGGGGACTAAGAGGCGTACGAAGGCCTGGTTTAGGGTCCATTTAGGGTTTATGCGGGCTATTCACGGCTACGGGTCTAGGAGAGGGAGTTGCTCAAGACTACTCCTATAATATAACTATATAAACCTTTTAGGGGTTTAGGGTTTAGAGGGCCCTCCTGACCTCCCTGTAGTGCCCATCTACCCTCAGGGTGCCTGACGGCACCCCTACCCTTGGTACCCCCAAGTCATTTCGAGTTTGGGGTTTTTGTCTTCGGGTAGTGGCGGTTTGTCACAGGCATGCTAACAAGTCTTCTAATCAAGGTTTTGTAAGTAGGTGTTTTTTGGGCTGAAGGCGGAAGGAGAGGGTCCGGTTACAGGAGGTGTCAGATGATTTTGAGAGAACCTCGCGCCCGGATTATCTTCAGATTTTGCAGTTTGGGGGAGCATATTCGTAACTATACTATGTCTTCTCATGTGTAACATGGATCTCAAGATTGTAGGTCATGGCGGCGAGCATGATGGGGATGTGGATGTGGCAACTGGCCTGGGCTGGGCGGGGTGTAGGGCTTCACCCTTACCAAGGCTTACTAGTCACTAGTCTTTTCTTCGTGCTTGTTGCAGGTTCGTTACCTTGCAAGTGTTTCGATCTCGAAAGGCCCATATCCCCACAGTGGTCATGGCACCTGCACCCGTAAGGCTAAAGCCTAGATCAGCGTCTTCAAAGTCATAGTCCGAAGAAAAACGAGCAAACTCTTGACAGCAGCAACTGAAACCCAAACTGCAGAAATGTCATGGTACCTGGATGAAATGACTGCATGTTAACTAAAGATCCCTCCTGCTGCGAACCTTACTGTGCAGACCGCCAATGTCAAAGCGAGTACCGACCTTGACACATTACATACCGAGAATGGGCGTTTCCAATCAGCTTACAGTATGCAAGTCAAACGCCGCTCCAGCGCAGGTGTAGTTTTGTTATGCCCGACCAAGTCCTGCTAATGACAGGTGCGACGGTTCATGAAATGAGGGCACATGTCCTGTCACTGAATTTTTGTATGAGAAGCCGGCAAAAGCCGAAAATGGGCCTCCACCGTCCATGTATTCCCTCAGGGGCCCTTCATACCGTAAGCTTGGGAAGCACGTGCCAGACCCTGTTCCAGCAAATGATAAGTTCCTGCAGGCTATGGGGCAGTTGTCGCAGAATCCACAAGGCTACCTGACAGAAAAGGATCACTCAGGCAGATGATGGACAGCTCTGAGTGAACAGTGATGAAGCTCCCTATAGACCTCCTGTTCTAGTGTAGTGCATTGAGACGTGATGAGATGGGACACAGAAACCACCTCCAATGTTCTCATACCTATTCCGGATGGCAAGGGTAACTTTCGACATTCGGGATACTGACATGTCAGGTTTCGTGCGCTACTGTCCGACAAGAAGTATTCAAATCAGTGTCAAAGATTTAGTGGCGTCGTGGAGGGAATTCTTTCTGAAATCCCAGACATCTACGACAGAAGCCCACCTGAACAACAGCACGGTCCTTTAGGTACCAGGCATGATATTTGTCTTCTTAGGTCATAGCTAAGCTTATACATGATGCATGTGTGCAGGGTGCAGGATGTCACACATCAAAGCCGCAGCGGCATGTTCAGGGCTTCTTGATCAAGAGGTCACTAGGATGATGTTTCGCTGGGTCCTTAAACCCCCACGCCGACATGATAGTTTCCCAAAATTCTGTCAGTGTAGGGTATTTCGGAATGCTTATAACTGGGATTACAGGATATTGTAGTTTTTGTTGGGGTCCCCTGTTTGTGGCAACCTTCATATGACCATAAATCTCTTGGGGGCGCTATTGAGTATGGTTGGGTCCAGTTTCCCAATATAACCCTATCATAATATGGTAGCTTCCATGTTGTTTTCCATTATTCCTATATACCCCCCCCCCAAATATATTTCAGAAGTTTCCTTTTTATTTTCCATTATTCCAATATACACCTCAATATACTTCAGTGGGGGGACTGGCGAAATGAGGGTTTGTTGTTATCGTTATTTTTAGTATGAATTCCATTTTAAACTGTATCAGTATTGTGCTAGTACTAGTTATTGCTTACATCATTACTTAAGGAGGTTACCAAAATAGCCTCATTGTCGGCTGCCTCATTCACCTCAAAGAAAAATGGTCGTGCACAGTCGTGTATTATTGCTTTTTGACCCGCATTAGAAAATACAAAGCGTAAGCCCTAACCCTAAACCCTGAAATAATGAGCAATTCTCCTGTCCAGTCTTATTATACAATCCCTATATATTACATCCTGGAAGCATCACTTTTCATAAGGAGGTCACCTGGGAACCTTGTCCTCTAAACCCTAAACCCAGGTCTGCCAAACTTTCAGACGCTCCCTGGCATTGATGCAGCCAGTGCGCAATTGCTGCAGCAGGCTCTAGGCCGGGATAACAGGTATAGGGGATATGTCAAGGGGACCGCCCGCGCTGTCATAGTGACTAAAAGGGATACCGGTGACTATATTAGGGTCCTCTTGTATTCCTATTATGCCCCTTTTACAGGGTGGGGGGGGTTCTCCAAAGGTATAGGCCAGCATTTGCACAGACTGTAGTACAGCCGCCTGAAACTTGCACGGGGCTTCACAGGAGCATTGCTTGGGAATTTTGTGGTGAGGTCCGAAAAAAGAATGTAATGGCGATTGTAGCCTAGGCCCTCGGGACTTAGCAAAGAAACGCTCTGACCAAGTCTGTGGACCCTGACATGTTCATGCGGTACACCGTGAGCAACCTGTGTCTACTTACAGCGCTTCTGTAAACATGAGCGTGAGTATTTCTTGTCTGAGCAACCCATCTAGAAACCCGTTTCCATTTCATGTTCCATTTTCTTCCCCAGTATTAATTACCGCAATATTGGTACGAAATCACCATATCACAGTTCTGAAAGTTATGGACGCAGGCGTCATGGCTGCCCAGGCCAACGGTCCCATGCGGCAGTCCCTCGGCCGCGTTCAGCTTGTTGGCCCTTCTTCGGGTGGCGTAGAGGGCCTCAATTCGACAGTATCAAGACTTATGGTTGGGGTTTACTTTGCTGCAGGGCTTGTAGCAGTTAAGGAGTTAGATGTCTCAGATTGGTCTTCCCCTGACGGCCCTTCGAGGAATGATCCTGTTGTCGGAGGATGATTCTGGAAGTCTTGTTGCCAGGGAACCGGGTCGTCCAACATGTTAGCTGGATTTGTTGAATGCATTAGGTCTACAGAAGGGACACTGCCCATGCCTGCAAAGAGTGATGATGACCTTGCTCAGCCCCCGTGACTCCTTTGCCAGTTGTTCTTTTCGGGACCTGGGAATACCTAGGTGCAAAACACTTAAGTAGAAATTCACTTATGGCCTATATCCCCCTCAATTTACCACTAGAAATGACACTTGCGTTTAGCAATATACTCACCAAGGGAAATAAAGCGAGAAGCGCCGTGAACCAGGGCTCGTTTGCCGTTTCAGCTGCTTGCTGAACCTCTGTCTCATGAGCCTAGCTGTTGGCGTCTGAGCTATGAGTCTCCCTCTTCAGCGAGTGTTGGAAACCATTCTCGTTGTGTCCTACTCCTTGGCTTGTTTTGGATTCGCGCCACTCAGAGTACAGGGGGTACCTCTACCTCTTCTTTTTGTAGGAAATGGGGAATGTTGCGAGCCGGAGCATTTTGCTTGGATTGGTCAGGCCCATGTGCTTAAGGTCACAAACTTTCTCAAATTAAAAGCGATGAAGTTGGGAGCTTCTTCCAAACTTGCCCTACAGGTCAGCTACATCTGGCTGTGCACGGCACCCAGCAGCCTGCACAAGGGTGCCCTTGCAACTAAGAAACGGATCCAAAATCATCCTTACTGCAATCCCCGTGTTCTCCTCATGCGTCCCGAGAATCTCTTGTGGGACCCCCTTCTTCAAGTGACCACATAGACCCTGAACCTTGAAGAGTTCTGAAGTTTTTCCTGGTGTTCAGAGCGGGTCAAAACAAGGTTTGGGATGGATGCCAATGCGGCCGTGATGGGCTATGATGCCCCTTGGCATTAAGTCACCAAAAAAAGCCGGCACATGCCATTACATGCTTTACCATCAACTGCCTCAGGTGAGCACAGAGTTCAAAGGCTCAAGCTTTCATGTTTGATTACTTGCCATCGCTTTAAAAAATTCATTCTTTCCGGGGGTGCCTGGATTCCAGGAAAGGTAAAGATAAGCCTGAGCATTGTTCAGTGCCCCCAGCCCGCATTTGTGATGAGTGCCAGTTGGCATTATGATCTGACCGGTCATAATGATCAGTCAGGCAGCCAGAAGTGGAAGGCTTGCTTTCAAAATTAGGAACCCAGCTCGAAGCAACAGGACGTACTCTCATGGCAAGCGCACGGACAATAAAACTATCATGTACATGAATCATCATGAATCCAAATGACTTTGATACACTCTGTTTCAAGTGCGTTTGCGAGCACACTGAACTCCGCCTCACTTGCATCTATCGCCCCCTAAGCGGCCTGTGAGTGAGAGATGCGTGAACCGTTCAAAACTGCCCAATGCTTCAAACAAAAGGTTGAAGCCCATGAGTTGCAAATAAGGTTTCAATTGGAAGTTCCTCTTGGGTGCTGAAATACTTTGGCACAAAGGTTGCCTTCATGGGAATACAGCATATGACCTGCAGATATGACAGCGTTGAAAGCCATCAAAAAAGAAGTCCGGGGGAGGAGCAGCTTTTTAATTGAGACAGTGGGACGAATATCGGGAATAGTGAGAGCTCACATGCCCTGAGGATTCCTGGGCTGTATTCAGAGCGAAACTTGCTCGTGCGAACTATCAGATGGATGGCTTGAGTGGCCATTTCTCACGATAAGGATCCACCATGATCCACCCTATATGCTCCCAAGCAACAGGAGTACTACTCGTAGACTTGGGACCCTCGAAACGGACCTCCGGCTTTGAGAAAACCACGAGATAGCGACCAGGTTCCACTGTCATCGATGAACTTCCCGGAAGAAGAGCAGTGCAAGCTGGTCGCCGAGGACTGGAAGTGTCTTCGCTGAAAAGCGGGGCAAGAAAGTGTAAAAAACACCTTGTCACTGAGGTAAGCGCAGCATGAACACTTGAAGCAACACATGAGTGTTTGGAGCTATAGGCCTCTTTGCACATGATTACGCACGGGTGGACATGGTATGGCAAGAATCTACCGCCCAGGAAGTGATACAGCCAGGCCCTCCCACAGACCTGCAATAGGAGTTCGGCTTTGCTTATTATGGAGTTATACCTACACATACATACACCCATGTATGGACGGATATACGCATGTTATTTACGATACATATCTCAGGAACCAGCAGCAGGAAGGCCAAAATCAGTCAGTAGCTGCTTACACAGCTGGGATAGTGGGAGCGTGCGTCTCCCCAGGAGCAGTGGGGTACAAAGCCAGGGAGAAATCAGGGACACCGGCCAGCATAGGGAATGTAGTCATTATATAAGGGTCATATAGAGATTGTGATTATTGTTGCTGCTTCAGGGGTTGTTGCTGTTGCGGTTACTGCTCTTTAAGATCTTGCTCTCATGGCCGGATCTTATGGTCATTGTTATTGTTATTTTGCTGCCGCTGTTGCCTGGCATCTGAGGAAAATATCTGCAAGGTCCCAGGCCCTCAAGATCCTGGGCAGAAGACAGCGGAGTGGCGTAGAAGTCTTCTGGTTTGGACCCTGCCTGCTGTATGGGTCATATGCAGGAGTGGGCCGGGGGGCCAGGAGGCGTGGGTAGGGCACTTACCCATGTCTTAGGACATCTTCAAGCTTTTAAAAGCCGATGCAGGAGCTTGTTACAGTTCGTTAAAGGGTCTGGGGTTGGAGCATTGGAAGGCAGACAGTCAGGAGGACACACGAAAGCCATGGCCAACGTGGAGAGCGACTCCAAAACAGACCATGCCTCAACCCTACTGTTGCTGTAGTCTCTTCTGCGGAAAGCAACACACGTAAATTATTCTAAGCTTGAGGTTAGACAACGTTTCGGGGCTGGCTGCTTCTGTTGGTACCTGAGTAAAGGGCCAAGAGTGTAGAGGTGATCGCAGAGCATTGCGTATCAGAATGAGAAATCCACTTGTTGGAGCGCCTTTGTCCCCCGTAAATGCATACAGATCATTTTGGGATGGCATGCGGGTATGCAGGAATATATCTAGAACCAAGATCAGCTAACAGAATTTGAAACATGACCATGGACCACACTCAGCATGGTGTGTCAGAATTGCAAAAAGCTCCTAAAACCCTAAATAGGAGTTTCTATTGTCTTTTCCATCATCCCGATACAATCCCTATATATCCCTATATAACCCGCGTAGGCGTGGGCATCCTTGCCGCTAAGGAAAAACGTGCGGAAAGACGCCGAGGATGCCCAGGTGAGAACTTGGTTTGAGGTCCTAACACTGCCCTTATGCTGTGTAGAAGCAAACCCTAAACCCCTAAACCCAAACCCAAACCCCTAACCCCTCAACAGAAGCGGCTCTCAGGAAAATGTTTTCTTTGCCAGCTGTCAGGTGACCGTCCCTGGAAAACAGACCCCGACGAAGGGCAGACGCTTCAGCTTCTTTGGTTCCAAAGGCGCTGGTGGCTACAAAAGCCAGTAGTCAGAAAAATACCAGCAGTAGTAGTAGTAGTCGTAGTCGTAGTCGTAGTAGTAGTAGTAGTAGAAGGCCCACGTCACGCCAGCGACGGTGCGTTATTATGCATTTCGGGGTGCACAAATACTGCGCTCACCAACACTTTTAGAAGGGACAGGGCATGAGTTGGGGGGTTGGGAACTATTTGTTTTGAAGAGGTCGGTTTTCGGAGCTTGTTGTGCTTACAGTCGTTACGAACGTCACGAGCGTAGTAGCCCCTCGCACTGAAATTTTGAGACACCCCTAATCCAAAGGCTTAGGGTTTAGGTTTAGGCTTTAAGGATTAGGTTTAGGGTTTAGGTATTAGGGTTTAGGAATTCGGGTTTAGGGCTTAGGATAGGGCTTAGGGTTTAGGTTTAGACCGTAGGGTTTGGGTTTTTTGAAAGTTTGAATGTTTCAGAGGTTCGTTTTCGGAGCTTGCAGTGCTCAGTGTCTTCACAACCTCAAGAACCTAGTCATTCCCGTTACTAATACTCGGACAAGCTTTCTCAGAGGTTTTTTTTAAGTTTGTCAGATTTGTTTTCGGAGCTTACTGTCCTCACGAACGTAATTACCCTCCCCACCCTCCCACCCACACCACCAGAAATGCGAAGGTAGCAACGTTGTGCAGTTTTTCAGAAAACACCAAAAATGAGGCCGAAACCACTGTAAAGTAGGGAAGAACCCACCGTCGCTGGCGCGACGTTCCCCTAGTAGTAGTAGGAGAAGGAGGAGGAGGAAAAGTAGCTGTGGTGGTAGTAGTGGTGGTAGTAGTAGTAGTAGTACTAGTAGCAGCATCAGCAGCAGTTTGATAGCCAGAAATGGCAGTAGGGACATTGCCAACCCTGCAAGTTTGGACGGTCAAGTCCCGATGACCCCTGTACCTTGGGTACGGCCCCCACTCGTCAACAGTTGATAATATGACCTCTATTATGGACTGTTGTTGGGAGGCGGGCAGGACCCAACCTATACCCTAAACCCTAAACCCTAAACCCCAAACCCTAACCTGACCCCTCTAAAATCCTGAAGGTGCTAAGGAGGCCAAGAGCACTGGCAGCACCGCTATGGAGAAGGCCGAGGACAGCCCCGGGTGCCCGGAAACCATGAACTTACCGGTGCTTAGAAGGGAATAAGGGAATATACAACATAGGTATTCTGCATACAGGGATTATATTCCCTCATTCCCTATTAAGAACTAGTCAGCAAAAGATTTTGAGCTAGCTCCTTCGAGAAGCTCTGTGCTTCACACTCCCTCATACCCGCAAGTGGTGCAAGCACACATTTGCCTCAACTGGTTCATGCATGCTGCACTGGAATCTCCTGCAACAGCGGCAGTGATGGCCCTTGGTTCTCATGAAGAAAGTCCTAGTTCATCAAGCCCGTCGTTTCCCAAAAGGGCCTATGTTGAACCCTATTGCTGGCCCCCGGCTTGAGAAAACATGAAGAGTTCCACATGAGGTGGGCGTGTACCAGAGCTTTGCTAAGTGTATATACGATTCCTCAGGATCACTCGGGAGGGTTTGCATATACACGCTCTGTGTTAACGGGTCCTCGCAGTATGCCAGCAGCCCTTAATCCGTGTTGTATATCAGAGGAAAGACCCATTGCCTCAGATATGCGAGAGGCATACAGGCGCTCAATCGTGAAACCCAAACCTTCTGCAGACCACGCGTGCTTCTCATAGAAAGTTGCATGTATACTCCCCACATATGCCCTGCACAACCCCAAGACAACACGTTTAGGAAACCCGTTACACCCAGCCTTTATGCCACAATCGTTCATAGCCGTCCCTTCGTAGAAAGACTTGGCAGATTGGGAACTTCAAGCAGCCACCTTAGATCCCTTATTTGGAAAACCTTGATCACTGAACGCACGCTTCCAGAAACAAGGGTCGCCCCTTTTAGGGACTCCCAAAAACAGACCCCCATGCTGTGGCAACCCCCTAGCTGCATGGTTTTTGAGAGGACAAGCAGGAGCAGCCCGAGAAGACCATGGGGGCCATGGAAGCTTGTAGTGCTTGTGGGTTTCCAGGAATTAGGAATTAGGGGTCCATTTGAGAGGGGTCAAATATGGAGGATTGCAATATTTTGGGGGGTATACCAAAGGGGCACCTTTTTTTTGTCACGTCCAAAGAAAACACAGGTCTAAGTTTGCCGTATACTTGTCTAATGACCTCCTGATCTCCACATATCTCTAACGTCCCAAGGGCACAACTATGTTGAGGAATTCTCAGATGGGCTCCTGTTTCTTTGCGGCGGGATGTAGGGATGTGCAGGGATAGGTGGTGTTAAAGCGGGCTTGGGGATTGGCACTTGGAACAAAATATTTCTGGACATATGCGCACACCCAGATTGCTGAGAACTTCCAATCTCCTCGAGGAAATTCCAAGAACATTCGAGAGCAAGCAGTAGGGTGAAGGCCGTAGATGCCTCATTTATGCAGGCAACTGTTTGGTTTCTTGGTATGTCTTATCACTTTTTGCAGGATGTCTTGGCGGATTCCAGAAAGTTTGTACTTTGAAGAACCAGCGTGTCAAGCCTAGGGTCACCAGAATCCTCGCAGACAGAGACCAGGGCCTTTGTCATCTAGAAGTCTAGCAAGGTGGACTAAACCCTCAACCCGAAACCACAGAAAAAGGTGCCACTTGTGACGGCTCGGCAAAGCCTCCTGAGATCTCAGGGAGTATTGAGGTATTCAGGGAGAGCCTCCTAGTGGACAGCCGCCTAGAGGGTGCCTATCTGCGACCGTATCCGTCATCAGGATTTCAACGAGCTGGTGACCATAAACGCCGGCATCATCAGCACAAACATGCGCCCAGTCTGGCAAAGCTGCACCTCTGTTTTGCAGTCGGGGTCGTCTCTTGAGTCTCTCCGGTGTATCTGCGCAACAGCCAACATGAAGCAATGGATGGTCATCCCCTGCAATCTTCATGTACATCTTTCTAACGGTGATGGTGCTTCAGAACTTGTTGACGCTGGGAGAGCCCAACACAATGGGTGGGAGTCCAACAACATGACAGAAGCACCACAAGTAACAAGTGATTGCCAAAATGCCAAGGTCTTCGATTCAAGTCCTGCTGCAGCTTTTCGAGAGACTGCTGGTGCCGGCGGTCAACGCTAGCGAAGGACATGGGGATTATAGAGGACTGTTAGTAGGCATTCTGTGCGAATCATAGAAAGTCTAGAGGGTTTTGTAAAGGAAGCAGAGTGAGAGTCTGCAAAGATCAAAAGGGAGAACGTCTCTATAAGATGAATGTCGTAGGGCACGCGGCTGCTTCAAGATTCCGCACAGGAAGCGGTATCATCAACACTAGGAATGATCCCACAGCACCCACGCTGAGATGGCCGAAATCATCTTCAGAAGCATTACTCACGGGCTCGCTGAGATGGCACAAGTTGCATGATCTGAGGTATTCTTACTACTGAAATATTGCTGTCATTAGTTCATCATTAATAACCCTAAGGGTCCAAGTTCCTAAAAATCCTTTACTTCGCCCAAACCTGTACTATAATCACTATTACCCAAAACCCAAGTACCTAATTGTTGAGTACTTGGACCCTCTGGGTAACAAAGTCCCATTGTAGTTGTTGGGCCGGGGGGCTCAGACAACAGGATCGTACCATTTCTGCAGGAGGGCTGGATAGCGCTTGCGACATGGCTGCGCCACTTAGCTGTAAGTCTACCTTTCAGGGTTTAGGGTTTCGGGTCTACCCTCCAAACTGTAAGAATGGTGGTAGTAATTGTAGTAGAAAGAGCAGGAAAAGTCATGTAAATATAGGGCTCAATGGAAAGGAAATGGAAACTATTATCTAGGGTTCAACCCTCCCCCCAGAATATCTGCTCATAGACTTCAGAGGTTGCGTAATGCTCAGTTTCAAGGAGGGACCCAAAGAGCTACCCAAAGGTACCTTGCAAGGCGGCTCGGTGCACAGGCGAACCGCAACGTCCAGCCAAAAACCTTAGACCCTCAAGTCCTCCAGCCTGGGGGGGCAGGTGAACAAGCAACACTAAAGCTGCCCTACAGCATTTGGGTTTCTTATGAGGTGGCCTAGGTTTGAAAAAGTTTTATGAAATCTCCACTTGCGAATAGGCTGGGAGAAGCCTTGGTACCGTGCTGTGGAAAGCTGAGCGCGATTGGGGCATGTTGCCTTTCAGAATACTTAAACCCTAATTCCTAAACCCTAACCCCTAAACCCTAACCCCTAAACCTTAAACCCCAAAATTCCTAGGCCCCCAGCTTGCCTTGGCAGCAGATTGTGTTTTAGGCAAGCATTTGCAGGTAGACGCAAAGCCGCGAAGACTATCAACTATGAACTGCACAACCTCTTGTTCTATTTAGGGTTTAGGGTGTAGATGGGTGTAGGCTTTAGGGCTTCAGGGTTTAGGGTTTAGGGTTGCAATCCCCTGCGGCGTTCTGGATTGTTTCTCCGTTCCAAGTTGTTGAGTGTTGGGTCTTTCCAGTTTCTGGCCTAGAGCAAGTCGCGTCCTCCTCGAGCTTTGTAGCTAAAGGCCTGTCTTGATGACACCAGAAATAACCTGAGAACGGTTTAAGGCCGTTTGAAAACCCTATTTCTCTCCAAGCAGCAGCAGGCAACACTGTACATTTCCAGTGTTATCTATCAAGAAGAAAGATCTTGAGCCGGGAGGTCCCCCTCCAAATTACATGGTTCGTGCTTTGTACTTCCTGGTACACTTGTATGATGCCAACACAGGATCATGAATGAAATCTCATGAAGCCCCACCAAAGCCTTCTTGAAATCGTTTTGAAGCCACAAGCTACACTGCTTTAACCAATAGAGAGCTGCTTGAAGAATGAATCTTGCAAAGCCCTACAAAACCCACACCCTCAGCCCCCAAAGCCCGCACCCAGAAATCCACAACCCCAAACTAAAAAAGGTTCAACCCCGAACCCAACAACAGGCCAAGGGCCCGGCAATGAGAGCTCTGACAATTCCTCCGAAAAGTTCTTCGGGTCTAACACTAAACCCTAAACCTTGTAATTCTTTAGCTCAGAGAAGGCTCCGACTCTTTCGAGAGTCGTCTGGACAGATCCTCCTCAAGGACCTTGTTTTGCTTGTCTATGCTGAGGATGGGGGTTTAGGGGTTAGGGTTTGCGGTTTGGGGTTTAGGGGTCAGGGTTCAGGGGTCAGGGTTTAGGGGTTGGGGTTTGGGGTTAGGGTTTAAGATATTGGGTATAGGGTATGTAGGGGTTGCATGGAGATAATCCCCAATAATAACCGGAGAAACAAATGGGAAAGGACATGGGAAATTAAATGGAAACTGGGGTTATGCAGGGACTAGCGTTTCTGCTATTTCCCAAAGGTTTAGGGTATAGGTTGGGTTCCGCCCCCACCCAGCAATAGTGACTATAAGGGATGATGGTGACCATATTAGGGTGCTCTTATATTCCAACTATACCACTACCACAGGGTGGGGTGTCCACCTACGGTATAGGTTTGGGAGTGTCATTCGGTATAGGTTTTGGAGTATCACCTTAGGATCTTGGGGACGTGGAGGGGTTAGAAGCATTTTATAGGTAGATTCCAGAAGAAGTGTTAAGGGATATAGCTTGAAGAAACTTATGCCAAGAAAGGCCAGTAAGAATGACAATAGCGCAGCGAAATAGCAATGAGCAGCCAGATCGTGCTGGTTTTGTTAAATCCCCTGCCGCTGCGCCCCTCCTACCCTGCACATGAAAAGACAGGCGTTGTGAACATTGCAACAGGAAACAGCTAGCAACCTCATCACCAATGTGGAAGGCAAATCACTTCCCTCATCAAGACGTCCAAAGAACTATGAACCATTATGAACCCCTTCTCCTATTACTGCCTATTCCCTAACAGTTGTTGTGGATACAGTTGTGGGACTTGAAGCAAAAATGAGAACAATTGAGGACTTCCAGACGTGTTTGCTTGCATCCGCGCGAGCACTGCTACCTGACGCTCGTCCTGCTATACAGCTCAGGGTGTACTGTAGCAGTATGTAACGAGAGCAAAGCAAAGGCAGTCATGACTGTAATCCTGGTCTTCATCGAAGGGTATGTGCGCGGAAACAGTCAGACTATAGTTGGTAATCCATAGCTTTGCCGTGCAGGCCATGAATCTACCCATTTGCCCAAAGCTATTGTGCTAGAAAGCGAGGATATCTACTGCAATCTCCATTACAGGAGGGGAAGAAAGGAATCAGCGGTCTCCACGGCATACAAGCTCCACCTCTAAACCCAAACCAACGTTTGCGTGCCATGTTTTTTCTGTTGCACACCACTGCACACCTCAGAGAGAAGTATATGGACACCCAGCCACCTCACCCCAAACGGCGGTTGATTTTCAAACTGGTCCCCAAACGGTGTAATTTCAGGCTTTGGAGTTAGTCTACGTAAGCCAGATATCGCGTGCAGCATGCAGACTGCGTTAGATGTGTATACACATATAGCCCCAATATAAACCCTATATAAACCCTGTATAATCCATACAGCTTCTATTTTGATTTCCAATACCTGTATATAATGTAAGCCAGTGCAAAATCTAAGGACGGATGGGATTCCAAGCATGAGAGCGCTTGGTGCCGCGGACAGGATTACGCGAGGTGTAGGGTTCACGGTTTAGGCTTCAGGGCTTCGGTTCTAGGGTGGCTAAAGCGTTTTAGTCTCATGTTTGATGGTTCAAGGATGAGTTTGAGGGAAAGTTTTGGATAGAGAGGACGACATTCACGATTTATACCAACCAATGAAGGGGCAGGAGTTGTAGCATGAGCCGCGGAATCTGAAAGAAGCACGAGCTGTAAAAGCAGCCCAAAGTCCAAGTCAAATCGTTAACCGGGCATTGTACTGATTCGAGAGCACTGCTGCTAGGCCAGTGTCTGGAGGACATATAGGATGATTGGCAGTGATATAGGCCTGTTGGGGGCCTAAAGACACCAGCGGCATCATCTGTGTAGCTTCACAAGGCAACGACTTGGAAGCTGGGGCACGCACATAACGGAAGGTGTCAGGTGGGGGTATGGACCATAGTTAAGGCCCATCGAGTTTAGGATTCCGAGTTTCTGGCTGTAAGGCGGATCGGTGCTTTTCAACTCGAATGCTCTGCAATCGTCCTATATCTTGGTACCTTTCGGGTCATCTTGAATATTGGGGACTAGTTCTGACCCCACTTCCCAGCACCCTACACTGTGAACCCCAAGCACTCAACCCTAAGCTAAGGCCTGAACCCGGAAACACATACTGCAGACCCTGAACCCTAACCCCTACATAAAAATCCTGCCCTTTTAAGAACCTGAGCAGTGTGTATACCCTGAACCCTAACCCCTACATAAAAATCCTGCCCTTTTAAGAACCTGAGCAGTGTGTATACCCTGAAGCCTAAACCCTCGATAAATCCTACCCTTTTTAGAACCTAAACCCTGCGTATACCCTGAACCCAAAGGATGGCAGTTTGGACGTGCATCGCTGATCGCTTGGAGCAATCCATCCCACTGCCTGGGAAATACGAAAAGCCGGTCGTGAACTTCGTTTCAGGCCTGGCCTTGCGTGATGTTTCGGTTTAGGTTGTAGGGGGTCCATTTATGCTACTATGATCCTTTCGAAAGAGTCCCTAAACCCTAAACCCTAAACCGTTTAGAGAACACCGCCCCCCCAGGTGGCTGTCAGGGTGCGTAGGATGAACCAGTTCACCGCATCCTGGAACAATGAATTAGGTGGACCCCCCACCCTGCAATTGTGACTCTAAGGGATAATGTGTATATTAGGGTCCTATAATTTTCCTACTATACCCCAAACCCTATCATATCACTATTACCTCCTAAACAATGAATT